CTCTAAGAAATGTTCTAGGCCAGATCAGTTTCACTTTAAGCTTGAACACCCGAGGCTATAGTTTGTTTTCTACCTGCAACAATTATAGCTACAGTAGGGTTGTCTCACTGAAAAGAGGTTCCTGGGAGGAAAATGATACCATAATGTAGTATCACATACAGGTTGCCTGCTTACTCAAATATGGTGACTGGAGCCTGATCTCAGCAAGGGGAAAAGAGAGGGAACCAACCATAAATTAAGGTAATTATTCACTTTTAAGCACATCACTGGTACTAAAAAACGAACACTTTATTATAATCTGATTTATTGTTACTGTTGCAGTTTATGCAGATCAGCATGAAAGTGATTTAACAGCTAATTGCGCTTTGATGGGTTTCTCACCAAACTCCAATACCTTAGGTAGCAACTTTCTCCATGAGATCCTTGCGGTTGTATTGATTCCTATTTATTAGGCTATTTAGAATGTCCTAGTCTGCACTCTGTACGAGTCTTTTGAATGGTGCTTTGAAATTTGAATAGTACTGTACAGTAACCGCTACCATTATAACAAAACAAATATTGCAGCATATTCTCAAGGACATGAGCTAAAGCACAACCTGTCACTTCTGTAAAATAAAACTCCGCTTCAGTTGAGAAAAAAAGCGCAAACAAACGTCTCCAGACCAATTGTATATATTGTAAGTATTTTTGCAAACTTGATTGCAGATTGTTACCTGCTTTTGTTATCTCGATCCTTGCCGATACATTGAGGTACTGTAACTAGCTCGGACTAACCTAAGCAGGGAGAGTCTGCCTGCTATAGGCCCCATTTATACCTGCGAATGGGGCCGATCGCAGGAGTCTCATGAATTCCTCCATGGGACTCATGCCATCTATTGTGGATGGAAGGCACTGTGTAAGGCTGGCCATACATTGATCAATTTATTGCGGCTGTACCCGTATGCATCTTATAGAACCTGAACTGTGTCTATAATAAAAGTAGTTGCTAAGTCCTGGTGGCTACATATTTTTTAGAATATTAAAGACATTTTAGCTTTTCCCATATGTTCTATGATCTATTTCTTTTAATAATACAAAAAAAAAAATACTCCAACCTTTATCATTTTATTTCCTTATGTGAGTGAAGTGTTGGGTTCACATGACTAAACATGACCTTTTCCTCAATACTCTTGTCAAATACATTGTGCACTTACGGCAGACTCTGATAATCAGGTTAGGGTGTTGCCAGCTCCTATATATATATATATATATAGCTTGTAGTCTGAAACACGTACATATTGCAGAGAACTAGAGTTACCATTTTGCCAAAAAACACCTACACAATAGCTCTTCTTATTATCTGCCATCCGTTTCACAGCGATGCAGTGCTGTGTACTGCTGCTAGGATGTGTGCTGTAAGGCTTATGTCACACTAAGGAGTCCATTCGCAAAAGAGCCATTGGCCATGCAAATCTCTATGAATGTTAATTCTGTATGAATGGTTGCAAAAAACAAATATTCTTGTATATTTTCTTTATAAGTCGAATGTATTTTCAAATGTCATCTTGTAAAATTGCATTATGGCCACTAGATGGACCTGAGGTGGCCTGCATCGCTCCATATGCTATCCCTACACAGATTTGTCAGCATTCCCTAACAAGCTCCAATGCACACTGACAATATGGCTTCTGGTAGTCCACCATTTTTTTCTAAATGCAATCGAGTATGCTAACTATAAATAAAAATAGTAGTTTAGTTTACTAATTTGTATTGAGATTGTAGTCCATCACGGGAGCGAGATTGGAGTGGTGGCTCCTTTACAACACACACAGGGACCATGGGGAACACAAATAGCCACCCTCCAGAATGAAGGACAGTGTCAGCACCAATTCAGATATGATTTGAGTATCTACAGCTGAGTGATGCACAGATAAGCTACATTTTTATTAATGGCTTACTCAAATGCAGTTTGCTGCAGGGGAGGATTCTGACACCAGAAATGGGTTGGCAACGGCAGACTTTTTAGTGGTGGCTTCATTACAGGCCTGAGGCCTTGGCCACCTTGTAGGAGTTTGAGAAATCCTCAGATCCTTGGACTTAATAGTGTCATTGCTTAAAATGTCAAAACTGGGCCAGAAGTATTAGAAAAGAGGAAGTAAAAGTTATTGAACGTCTCATGTAGAAAGGGATTTCATGGTACCCTTCTTGAAGGTATAGTTCAGTAGCACTACAGCTTTGAAAATAAAGCCATACTTGTGTAAACCATCATTCACAATCCCTTCGTTTTTTACAAGATGTCATTTTAAGCCGATTCTGTCTACCTATTGTGAAACTAACCCGACAGCAGAAAAAAAATACTTTTCAGTCTTGTAAAAGCAGAAAAAAGTGTTCTTTTCCCTTTTTTACCGCCTCCTCTTCTGTTATTGTCTTCTGAGATAGGAAAACCAGTGATTGTGCAAGGGCGAGGGGTCTGCATGTATTAAATGGTAGTGCTTGTAATTGGCACAAGATATCACAGACTTTCTGTGGTTTCAGAATCAGGCAATTACAGAAGCATAAAAGGGCTTCTGACAGGAAGCCCAGGGACGCAAGGTGAAGCTGTAACAGTGAAGCCTGCCACAGCTAGAGCTCTACTGAAAGTCTTAGAGGGGATTTGTTCTCAGCCTCTTCTAGAACAATGGAATGAGATGTGTGTGTTTCAAGGTACAATACGACCATTATACCATGCTTACTGTGGTGTAACAAAAATGAAAAAGTCCATTCGCCTCTTATAATTAAACCGCATCTGAACTTGGTCCTAAACAACTTCTTTTGAAATCCCGGGGCCATTTTTGGTGTGTTTATTAGTTTCTCTTTCCCGGACTAATTAAAATGAAAGAATAGTCATGGCGGACTTTGAGGAAAAAAAATTTGACACATTAGAAGGTGATACAATACAATTTTTTTCTCTCATTTTGTTGTAAAGTTAACTTTAGTTAAATTCTGTTGTGAGATTATTTATTTTTTGACAGGCATTATGTAGCCTGCTTAGATCTGCTGAACATTGATATGTTAATTAGCTCTGAACTCAGAGTACCTTTAGTTCCTCTTATTAAACACGATAAAGGAAGCGTATTGCTAGACGTTGTGTGAGAAGGAGCTTTTTGTTGTTGTTTATGTACAAAAATACTTAAAGGATGACTAAACCCAAGAAAATAAGTGTAATATATTGCAGCTTACAGTCTTTAGATGTGGAGGCTGCACTAGTGTTTTCTTTTTTCAGGATAAGAACATTTTTGGCAAGTACAGAAGATGACTGTTGATTTTGTCCTTGTCACTTCCTGTGAGCTGAACTGGAACTTGTATTGTAAATGCGATGTCTTCCTTATGTTGCAAAGCGCAAACTGTTGGTGCTGTATAAATCCTGTATAATAATATAATAATCTTATTGTCTTTCTGGCATGTCTGCCAGGAAAATATAATTTTTAGAAAGAAATCATCAATGGCTTCCCCATATTAATTTTAGCAAAGGTTTATTTTAAAGTGTTTATAAACCCTAACAATGAACTTTTCTTAATTGCTCCTTTTTTATTAACATATTTTATATTATACAAGTACAGACAAATTGTAAACACCATCAGGACCAATATTTAGGTTCACACCTTCATTGCTATTCCTTTTTTCTGACAATACTTTTTATACAGAATAAACAAAAAAAGGAGAAATATTTAATCACACTGCAATGCATTTTGGGTCCCCAGGGTGTCTAGCATGTGTAGCGCTTATCCCTGAAGGAGCCGCTGAATGCCCGGTTCATCTCTAGTCTGTCTAGGGTATGATCTTCAGCTGCCCACCCATGAGGATTAACCACCCTTCTTCTGGTGTCCACAAACTGATGTCCACTCCAGTAATATAATGCAGAATAACTTTTATTGAACATCTTCACTGAGGAGAGAGGGTATAGAGATTCTAAGCTTCCAGGGTGTAACAGACTTTAACTCCAGACTCACCAGACCTGGTTGGCATATCAGTGTAGATCCACTTGGGAGGCAGCGGATAGCAACTGAAGTAGCAGATGAGTAAGGATGAATATAGATCCTCAACAGGAAAGACACCGGCCATACTCCTGAAGTCCTTAGTATCCAGGAAACTTCAAGAGCCAGCATTGGTCCTGAGTCTCTTCCTCCGACAGCAACACAAGCCTCCTCCATGTTGGAGGCCGCAGGGAAACATTTTCCTCACACCAGCCTGTGCCCACCCCCAGGCCTTAGGCCTAGCCCGGGGAGCAGGCTGAACAGCACCCAGCCCTAATACATGGCTGGTACCGGCTAGTCTGAGCACATGGCAAATCCCTCCAGTATATGTACCCTATCCCAGCATGCACCACTGGTTGAGAGAAACCCAGTGATTGGCTGCTGTACTGTACATACACTACAGTGCCTCTCATTGGCTGTCCCACAATATGACAGAATCACACTCCGCCCAGGGGGGTACAGGCAATGCCAGACACCTGGAATTAACCAGATAACTGCCACTATAATCCAGCTAGGCTGACTACAGGCCTGGCTATCACCAAATGTCTAGTTGTCACATCACAGAAGGTGATGGTGGCTACACATGTATCACTCACTTCTATAATGCTATTTTTTTCACCAGAACGTAGTAATATAACCCACACACAGTATAAAGCAGCAAACTTTTAAGTTTGTTAACTATTACCATTTGAAATAATTTTGTTACATGTGTTGTAAGTGCAGAAAATACCTGTTGACCCCGCCAGAATTCTTGTGAGCTGATAACTTCCTGTAGATACTTCCTGTAGATTCCTAGTTAACAGAAAAATACCTGTTGACCCTGCTAGAAACCCAATCTTCTTAAAACTTCTTGTGCATTTATCTGAATGCTCAATGTTATCAGCCTTCCCATTTCTTTTCTGTGAACTACAGAACACCTGTCCCCTATCTTAGGGATAAGGAGGTGTTTTTGTGTTCAAGATCTGTCTAGGTCTGATATGTGCCTTTTTTTTTACATTTTATCACTAGACAAGTAATGGAACCGGTAGAATAAGCCCTGTTACCTGCAACGATCAAGCGAACAAAACAGAAGCTGCTCAACAGAACAAACCAGTAGAGGTTTCAGGTAATAAAATGACAAGTGAACAGCAAAAAGCCTGTTTTCCATACTAAGCGGTTTATGATGTTTTACATTATCCAGGCCATGTGTAGGAAAATATAATTTCACAATCACAACCTATGGGTTTATTCAGTAGGACAACGTTAAATCTAGTAAACCGCAGCAACCAATATCACTTTGAAATCTGATTGGTTGTTATTGGGTAATGTACTTTTTCCATTGGAAATCAATGTCATGATCTTCATCAAATGTAAAAAAAGGGGGTGTATTTATAAATGGCTTGCAGAGCTGGTCGCCCTGCGTGTATCTGAGTTTTACATTCACACCGCAATATGTCCACTAGATAGAGCTGAGAAGCATAAGAATGTTATTTGAACTTCGGCTCCATCTAGTAGCCATATGCAGTGTGAATTTAAAATTCAGATGTTCGCAGAGCGAACAGCTCTGTGAATGTTTTATAAATATACCTCATAATTATCAGCATTCATTGTGGGTTTTTGCATGCTGTATGTAACCATCTACCCACTCCATGTCAGCAGTATGTCCCAGCTGTAGCTGCTACTGCTGCATTTTGATTGTCTGCTCTGTCGCTGATCCTGTCTTCACTGGGGCTGTGGTATACATTCCATGCTATGCACAATTTTTCACTGTGAGGTCCAGCATCTGATAAATGATGTTTCTAAAATATAACCTAGAGGCTACAGTTATACATTTCTGCAGACAGAAATTGAGAGGAAATCTACCCTTTGGGGTCAAACAAGAAAATAAAAGCAACAAAAGTGCTAATCATTCCTCATGATATACTGTATATAAAAAAAGTTTTGGTGGGTGTAAGTCTTTTATTACCTGTGGTTATTATTTTTATTTTTTTTTACAACTTATTGGTTTGCTCCTTTGTTTCATTGGAAAGACACTGACCCCAGAGTTACAGTAGCAGCCCATCTGAATCAGTGCTTATTGTCTGATAATTATTATAGCCTTGGAAATATATCCGTATTGAACAAGCACTTTAGTTTTAAATGATTTCAATTGTTATAGGCTGTGGTGATTTTTACCACTTAATGTGATGATTTTCATTACATAATTGTCCTTTTTTTGAAGCTTACGAAAATTGATTTTTATAGTGGTTATAAGTATGTTGTTTATAACAACTTTATTCTATGTTCTAGATTTGCCCTCCTCAGGAGAAGGTTTGCACAAATGTCTCGAGGATGAAACAGGGCATAGCCTTCAAAAGGCAGCAGAGGAGCAGGACTACATTGGCAGCTGGGTACCCCGTGACACACACCTGCCAGTAGTAGATGCACAGAGTGGATATAATTATGCGTGGAGCTCAAAGCAGAATACGCTCAGCGCTGAACTAGCTCCTGATTACAACACCCCTGAAGAGCCACATGCGCAAGGTACTCACATTTTTAGACTTTTATGATCACTGGTAAAATCCAATAGGGAAATTTTTAAGTCTGCTGGTTATTTTGTAGTTAGCTGTAATAAGTGGCTTCAATCAGTACCATAGTTACATAGTTTGTCAGGTTGAAAAAGACACAAATCCATCAAGTTCAACCTATAGAGAAAACAAATTAGAGAAACCTCCATAAACCGATCCTTATGCCCACAGTGGATCCAGAGGAAGGCAAAAAAAACCTGTAAAACATGGCTCAATTTGTTCTAACAGGGGACAAAAATTATTTCCTCATCCTACAAGGCAATCAGATATTCCCTGGATCAACAATCTCTGGGGTTTTTTACTTATAAAATGTTAATACCTAGTTATATAGACAACAATGTTGGTGATTGGTCCAGTGCTATTACAAATTTACTTTAAAGCAGAACTCTGGGCAAAAGTGTACTTAAAGCAGAACTCCAGGAAAAAAAATCTTAACCCTTGCAGTGGGGCTCCCCCAGCACTGCAAGGCTTAAGTGCTCATTTAGGTCTATGCGCTTAAAAAAAAGTTATACTCACTCGAACTGTGGTGTCAGCTGGGTGTTACTCTGGTCCCTGAAGCCTGACTCCTCAGGCTGCAGTATACTTTACACCCTTGATTCTCAACTGGTGGGTCGAGACCCAAAAGTGGGTTGCGACTCCTTGTTCAGTGGGTCACCTTGTGCCTTCCACTTTTCTAGGCGAGAGGCTCCTCAGCCTCCCCCTTGAGCAGAAAGTGTCAGTTCTCATGCCGAGCAGCCATTCATATGCTGCCCGGCGTCAAGTGTCAGGTGGAGTGGGCTGGAGCATGTCCTGTACATGTCCCTGGACTAGAGTGCCGTCATATTCTGGCTCCCGGCACCTCTACAGGGCACACAATGGATCTGTACAAGCAATACACATATGGATGGAGCTCTGTCACAGCACAGCAGCCCACACTGGACCCCAGGCTGAGGATCCACTCCAGTTCTTGTAAGGTAGGGAGACTGGGTGGATCTTAAGAAAATGTTTTTTTTTTGTAATGTGTATGTGAGATTGTTTTTGGTTGTGTGTGTCTGTCAGTGTTTTTGAGGGCCCGTGTCACGTACCTGGTATGGTCTGAAAGATGAGGGAGGCTCCTTTTGTAACTCTCGTCAGAGCACCCCTGGAGATGGCACAGGTAGCGCACGGACAGAGAGAGACACCAGTGCCTGTGGATGTGGATCACCTGCTGGTAAGGATAGGGAAGCCGGATGCAGGAAGCCGGATGCAGGATGCCAGATGCAAGAAGCCAGATGCAGGATTCAGGATTCAGGCAGCGAGATGCAGGATGCCAGATGCAGCAAGCCAGATGCAGGATTCAGGATTCAGGCAGCCAGATGCAGGATGCCAGATGCCGGAAGCCAGATGCAGGATTCAGGCAGCCAAATGCAGGATTCAGGATCAGTGGCTGGCAGGCCAGGCCAGGAGAATCCGGATGGTAGACGTGGTCAGTAGAAGCCGCGTCAGAACCAGACAGATCAGAGCCGAATCAGGAGGCAGGAGATCAGTCAGATAAGCCGAGGTCAGAAGGCAGGCAGCAGACAGCAGGAAACAGGAGCAAGCTGGGTCAGTCACAGGATTCAGATACAGGAACACAGGTACAGGTACAGTTGAGATCTTCCAGCAACTATCAGTTGCTGCTTGGGGTTTAAATAGGCCGATTGGCGCCAATTCGTGCACTGGCCCGCGCACACGTGCACGTTGCACGCGCTTATGTGCACGCTGCACACGCACATGCGCACGCTGCACATGCGCAGTTACTGCTCGTCTGTCACTATGCACGTTTCTGTGTGCCATAGTGCGTGTAGTAACTCGAGCCCTCCTCATGCTATGGGCATTAGTTCTACGTTCCTGACAGCCCGTTTACACTAATACAGTGCGTTAACCGAACAGTCCTGTGCGATTAACACACTGTACCATGCAATTGCACCTACTACGCATTCTTGTGTGGGAGGTGCTTTGCAATTCATTAGAATGGCACCCCAAACACACCTCCCACCCACAGTTCAATTGCCCACACTTGAACTTTTGGTACCGCAATGCTGGTCGTTCCATTGAAGTGCGACTTGTGTTGCAACTTAATGACCAAGGACAAATGTGGGTCCTGAGATTACACAGGTTGAGAACCACTGCTTTACACTATGTATAGATAGAACATGATTACTCAATGGGGAGATGAGGCTCCAGGGAATGGGCTAAGAGCAAGCTGACTTCAAGGATCTGGTGAGTAGGTCTGCCATAGTTTACCAGATATCTTAGGTGACTATGTGAGTGTGAAAAACAAAGAACGAAAAAGGGCGCCTCCATAGTGTAAAAACGAAATGTAATGATAAAAAGCACAGCTTGTATTGTACTTACAAGAAGTCGGTAGTAAATAGGCATATAGTAATCGATAGGATATCAAATCATCTAGCAGAGGAAGTCTGAAAGAATGTGTAGCTTCAGCATCCACTGCCCCGGTGTAGTCAAAGGTTTTATGCGTTTCTGGGGCACGCCCCCTTTATCAGAACCTGATAGAACTCACCAAAACCCTGCTCTTAAATGTCTAAGACTGACCTATCACAAGCGATCTCAAAACGAGTCACAAAATTATTCGGACCAGTTGTCTGTATTATAATTAGTGTTGTAATTATCGCTGAAGTTCATCCAAAAGGGACAGTCAGCCGATAGAAGTAAATTGGTAATCTGCATAAGCTGTGTTCTAATTTGGTGTCTAGAAACACCGTATTATAAATCTAGGAGAGAGAGCAAAAGCTGACCTCCGAATCCTAATAAAGCCGCTCAAGGGATCGCAAGCCTTTTGTGATTGTGATAGGTCAGACATTTAAGAGCAGGGTTTTGGTGAGTTCTATCAGGTTCTGATGAAGGGAGGGTGCCCCAGAAACGCGTAAACCTTTGACTACACAGGGGCAGTGGACGCTGAAGCTACACATTCTTTCAGACTTCAGCTGCTAGATGATTTGGTATCCTATCGATTACTATATGCCTATTTACTACCGACTTCTTGTAAGTACAATACAAGCTGTGCTTTTATCATTAAATTTCATTTTTACACTATGGAGGCGCCCTTTTTCGTTCTTTGTTTCTCAGATTGACGGTCTCCATAGACCTGTGGGAGCTGCCTCTACAGTGTGTCCATTATCATTTCAACTGGCCGTTTTTTCAGGTGGAGGCGCCGGTATTGTTTTTTTCATGACTATGTGAGTGGTCCATACTCAAACAGATCACCAACCTCCACTACACACTGCAACCAGCAAGCTGGAACCCCTCTGAGAGTATGAAGCTGGGTTGTAAGGGTAACTATAAACAGTAAAAATCTCACCCGAGCTACTGAATCAATAGTGAGAGCATGCGGTCTATGCCAACCCTTTGTGCATGGGTACCTGTAGATGTCATTAGTATTGCAGCATTCTCTATGTGTTCTCTTCTATGTGGAAAACCCTGTATGTGATTCCATTAGTGATGTTTTCTTTTTAATCTAGCAATAAATGTGTATGTGGTGTTGGGTCTTTTAACTCATTTCCCCCAGGAACAATGGCTTGTCACTTTTTCACTGTGCAGGGAAACAATAGGCGGTTGCCACTAATAAGGCAACAGATTGACCAATTCAATGAAAAGAGCGTAAAATACCAGCAGGTGAAAATGTGCTGCTTATACAACAGAGTGCTAAAATTGATTTCTATGGAGGCAAAATTGAGTAGAACTCATAGGGATACCAGAATAATACATCTGAGGGCAATGGGATTTTCAAATACCAGCTTTCTGGAATTTTCATGTCTTTTCATGGTTTCAGAACAGTATAAATAGCACTTGTTTAACTTTGCCCGGTCAAGTGCTGGGAGCAAGGATTCAGCTCCTGAGATATTATTAGCATTGCAGCGGTGCCCATGTAAGCCTTTTGTTCTGAAAAGCCACATAGGTTTGGGCCATACATTCAGGGTAACTGGGACTCATGCATCATGTTGCCCTTTATTTTAATATCTATGCACACTTGCTCACAGCAGAACTCTAGCAAAATATAGCAAGATAAAAATAAATAACCCATTGAAGAGAAAATCAGAAACCAGCATTTGCTGCAATATTCAGCTTAAATCCAGAGATTAGCCCTGCAATACTTTTTTAGGTGTCTTTAGTCTCATAGCTAGCAACCCCCTTCCTCTGAACCCCGGTCGCCTTTGACCTGCCCCAGCCTGTTACTAGACAGTGAAAGGAGAAGCAGTACAATGATGAATACATTTTTTTGTCACTTTGCTTTCTCTTTCTATCAGCATGCTTCTTGTCAGCATCTGTGCTGCTATAAAGACTTACCTTTTCTAAGGTTCCTCACAGATTCTCCATTCTCAACCATGCTGTGTGATATGCCGATCGATCTGCCTCCTGGCGTACTCCCACTGACTTGACTTGGTGTGCTGTTTCACAAGCAAAGAAGTTGTTAGTCGTGCTTTTCTTTCTTGCTCCTTATTTACCATAGTCCCTGTATCTCCGCAGTTGGGCCAGTGCTCACTCTCAGCATCATATTGTTAGGCAATGCCCTCTGCCTACTTCTCACTTTTCACCTGCAATTGGTCCATCTTCTGTCAATGCCCAATTTAAGCCTTACAGTCCCTGAGGTTTTCCACATGCATCACTAGCTACCATTGCCTCTATCTGTTTTCCTTATGCACCAACCCTTACCTGCATTTTTACCACAATTCTGCCTGCTGCAAAGCCTGGCTTCTGCTTATTACTGACTCTCGTGATCTCTTCTGCCTGCCTCCTGGACTGACCCTTTTGCCTTTTTATTGACCATGTCTCTGCCTGCTGCCTGGACTGATCTTTTACCTGCTTATTAACAATATTTCTGCCTGCTGTCTGGACCAACCTATTGCCAGTTTACTGACCACGTCTTTGCCTACTGCCTGGACCAACCTCTTGCCCCAACTCTCTGGTTACTCTCCAAACGAAGCTCCTGTCCCCCCC